TAGAATGGGATGGCTGGATGGAATGGGATGGATGGCTGAGTGGATGAAACACGACCTTCTACCCTCAGAAAGCTTATCTTGCTGGGTGGAGGATGTAGGTTGAAAGGAAGAGGACACAAGAGTACAACATCAGAACTCACCAAAGTGTTCGTGCAGCCAGGGAGCCACGGGGACAGCCGGAGATGGACCCAGTGCTGAGGAAGAGTGAGTGCGTCTTCCTCCACGTCTTCACCCGGCCTGGCTGCTTCCTGGCTGGGTCTTCACTTCCCTCATATAAAACGCAGCTCGTTTGGCCCCCTCCGTCATTGCCTCCTGTCTAACAATGCACACCGTCCCCACTGTCACCCCATCTTCCCTTGGCCCAGGGCCGGTTTCAAGATCCGTATGCGACCTGTGCAGCTGCCCCGTGCCTGGAGATCCCGCACTCGCTTCATGCCTTGCCGGGCCATCATGAAGTTCTTAATAACTTCTGAACGCGAGTCCCACCGTTTAATTCTGCGGGGTGCTCCACAAGTTGCATGGACTGGGATTGGCTCCGTCCACCCCGAGTGGAAGCCAGAGTCACGCGCATGCCTCTGAGCCACCTTCTTCCCACACGCCACTCACTCCTGCTGCTCCAGCCAGCCGGGCCGCTCCTGCCTGCGGCCTGTGCGCTTGCTGAGCCTCTTCCTGGCGGCCTGCCCAGGCATCTGCACGCCCAGAGCCCTACCTCATCCGCGAGGCCTCCTGGATTTCTTCCTGCACACCTCGCCCTTTCCCTGATGCTTTTTCTCTGCCACTTGCTCCTGTCCGCGCTCCACTTATCTACTTATCGGGGGGCGCTGTCTGCTGACACCCAGGACGCTGTCAGTCTCCGGCCCCCGCTCGGCCCCCACCGCCCAGATCTGTGCCTGGCACGGAGAGGGGCTCAGGGACTCGGCGAGGAAAGGATGACGGACGGATGGGCTCACAGCTGCATTCCGGCCCGCGGTGCTCCTCGGGAGCCTCGGTGAGATGCCGGATGCCTGCAGCCTTGGCAGCTGCATGGGCACAATCTGCACTCAGGAAGAGGAGCCCCTGGGGCCTCCAGAGCCCCACCGCGGGCACCGAGAGCGTTGCAGGGGCGTTAGTGTCCTGCTGGACAGGTGAGGACACTGAGGTTGGGACGGCAGCCCCCGCCTAGCAGCACAGAACCCCATTTAATCAGAGTCCCGTGGAATAAATACCCTTACACAGAATTCCTTACTGTTTGATGAAATTCAGGTACATTTTAATTTGCTTTCTGGTCACCTTAGTGACGGGGACCCACCTGAGGTCACCCAGGCCCCAGCCCGGGTCTAATTTTATCTCCTCCTAGAAGACTTGGAAAGGACGCCAGCAGCGAGAGGCCCAGAGGAGTGGACAGCAGCTGCCCAGGCCTGCAAGCAGCCCGTTCTCCTTCCAGCCTCAGAAGTTGGGGTTCAGCCATCTGCCCCGGCCTTGCCCCAGAGGGCCAGGCGCTGGGGGGCAGCAAGGCTAAAACCCGACCAGAGATGAGAGACAGAACTCTTGCCAGGCCTTCAGGGGTCCCCAGGCCTCAGTGGGGGACCCCACGTCCAAGTCCTCCTGTGTCCCGGCTGCGACAGCCCCGCACAAAGCCTCCCCAGACTCTCTGAGTCCCCCAGGGGCCTCTGAGACCAGGGCACAGTTGGGAGCCCGCGCCTCGGAGTCCTCATCTGAAGTCAGGCGCCAGCAGCGCCCCCCCAGGGGGGATGGGCAGGTTGGTGCCCAGTAGAACAACGCACAGCACACAGCAGGGGCTGGATGCGGCTGCTGCTGCTGCCCTGCAAACGTCCCCACGTGAACCCTGCTCTTGCCACTGGGCCCCCAGCCCCTGCCTCCTGGGTCTCCCAGGCCCCGCCACTGCCTTCCCAGGGCACAGAGAGGACGGGGGAGTGGGCTGCCCAGAGAACCACCAGTGCCGCCAGGCACCTCCAGGCCTGGGGCCAGCTGCCAGGGGACGGGGTGAGAGCTGCCAAGGATGGATGGCACCGCCGCCCCGTGCGCCCAGCTCAGCAGAAACCGGGCCGGCGGTAATGGGCCGGCAGCCCCCAGCTGCAACCAACTTCATTTTCTGCCACAATTAAATGATCGCCCGCCTTTGCTCACGCTCACTTATTCAATTACCTTGGCGGCCCTGAAGGACTGTCGGAGAAACAGCCATAAATAACACACGCGTGGCTGCCCCCGGCCGTCCCCTGCCCTCGCTCGGCAGCCCGGGCCTGGACTCTCCTGCCGGCACGGGGTCCGTGTGTGCAGCGCCCCTCCGGTTCCCAGCACCACACCTGCAAGCCCAGCCCCTGGGGGTCTCTGGGTGCACTCTTCCCTGGGCTTCCCCTGGCTCCAGTGTGAGTGGGGAAGTGTCCTGGCTTCCCAGAAGAAATATAGGCACCTCTCCCCACCACAGCCCCCCGAAATGCCTCGCTCCTCTGTGCCCCACTTTCACTTCTTGTCTGGGGACTCCTATACACCCTGCAAAGCCTAACTTGTATGCCTGCTCTCCTAGAAGGCCAGCAACCCCACCCACCCACACACTCAGCTAGCAGGTTAGCCTGTTCATAACACCTCATGTGTCCTAAGTTTGGGGGACAGTCACGCCATCCTAGATTCAAACCTCCTGAGCCACCTCATAACCAGGGATCAGGACCGAGAGTCAGAAGGGGTGGCCACCATGGGTCCCCCCAGATGGAAGCCCATCCCCATGTGGCCTGGCTCAGCACCTCCAATCAGTCATGACCGTGGTTAAAGTGGGGTGGGACCCTGTGTCAGACACTGTGTCAGAGGCTTTTCGCTCATGTTACTATTGAAAGGTCAAAGCAGCCCTGAGGAAATCACCCCTGGCTGCCGACGAGGACGCTGGGCCTTGGCGCGGTTAGGCTGTGTGTCCACACCACCAGCCACTCTGCGGCCGGAGGAGCCACAGGCGCAGGCCCAGCTCTTCCTGCAGGCACCACGCGGTTCTGCGCAGGTCTTACATCCCTTTGCAGCCTTGCTTTGCCGGTCCTCGCGCAGAATGAAAGGATGAACAGGCGGCCTGCGGGGGCCCCTCCAGCTCTGAGTCCTGGCAGTTTCTGTGGAGCCAGCAAAGCTGTTAGACCCAGGCAGACACAGTGGCTCCGGCAGCCCCGGGAGACGGTGGCAGCCTGGACCTTCCTGGCAGGACAAGGGCCCCTCTGGTCCCCTTCCTGTGTTGCTGGCCACCCCAGAGGCCTCACGGGTGGTTCAAGGGGCAAAGGAAACGCGCACTGCAGTAAGGACGGGCAGCGTGTAATCCGGGTATCAGGGCTCAGGGTGGCTCCCTTCATGGACTGAAACCCCACAAGAACCCCCATCCTGACTGCTGTCTCAGACTGGGAGAAGCAGACCCAGGTCCTCCATGTCCAGACCCCTTGTGGCCCTCAGGAAGTGCCCCACCTCTGGGCTTCAGCCTCTGGGCTTCAGCCAGATGAGAACTGCGGGAGGTGGATCGGAGCCCAGAGTTGCTGCAGAACCTACTCTCTGCCCAGTGCCCAGCCCACATCTGCGAGCCAGCCGTGGCACCTCCCGCCGGCCAGCGCCCAGGTCCAAATGCCGCAGAGCTCTGCTGGGGACGTGTGACCGCGAGGCTCCCCAGAAACAAGGCAGGGGCTGAGGGAGGGGACTCAGGCCACAGGCCAGCTCTGCCACAGGCCAGCTGTGAGGAGGCTGCTCTCTGCCTCAGTTTCCCCCACTGACAGATGAAGGTGACAAGGCCAGCGCCTCCTGAGGCTGTGGGGAGCACTGTGTGAGCTCCAAGAGCCGAGAACACCACCCTTGGGCACCACACTTGGCGGAGCATTAAGGAACTGGCGTTCCGTCCTGAAGCCCAGAGGGAGGACGGCCTGCTGCTTCCTAGGAGAAGAGAGTGCATTCTGGGTTTGCACTTTGAGGATCTGTTGTCGAGCCCGACCGGGCACCCTGGGCAGGCTGAGCCCTGGGCTGGACGAGGCCAGTGGGGCTGGCAGCAGGGCCAGGCCAGACGCGCAGGGACATGGATAGGATGCTGGGAGATCTGCAGGCTGCTGGGCCCCAGGTGCCCTCGATGTGCTGGCTCAGGGCCCTGCCCTGCTGCCCAGGGAGTTGGGCAGTGGCAGGTGGCTGGTGGCAGAAAGAGGGGAAGGAGGGGCGTGCACCAAGCTGAGCCGGGAGAGGGGAGCCCGGCAGAGGGAAGAGGGGCTTTGCCTGGGACTGCGGCAGCGTTGGAGTCATGGGCTGGCAGAGGCGGCCGCAGAGAGAGGATTAGCAGCTGGATCTCGGACAGGAAGCTGAGCCTGGGGAAAATGACCGTGGCGAGAACTTGGCCACTGCGGGAGGACAGAGACAGAGTGACCTATTTGATTGCATAACAGATTGACTGCCAGCTCCTGTGTGTTTTGCGACTGCTGTGTGTCTCTGTCACATGTTTGGGGCTCAAAAATGTTGTCAGGTAGGTAGATGAGTAACAAGTCCATGTGGAGCCCGGCTCTTCGTGACAACAACACAGAAACAGGAAGCAGGCTGCATACCGGGGCGCAGCCGGTCCCTCCCAAAACCCCGGTTCCATCCAGGCTCAACCACCTTCTGGCCACCAGGTGGGAAGCCCTTCCCCAGCAGACCCCAGGTCTCCCACTCCTCCCTGCGGGGCTTCAGGGCTCCAGGACTGGATCTGGTGCAGCCGGGAAGGAGGAGGGGGCGAGGGCGGAGGCAGGAGGCAGGTCACACCCTCCTCCACGGCTGGGAACCGGCAACCGGATACTCAGGAGCATGTTGCACAAGCAGGACTGCAACTGGGAGTGGGCCGAGGGAGGGGCAGAGCACACAGGAAGCGGCGGTCTGCCACCTACCTGCCCCCCTTGGGCAGGGTGGGGCGTGCACGGGAACCCTTATCCCACTACAGGGCACCCGGAATTCAGGAGACCCATGATTGTCACAGCAGAGGATTCCTTGTAGAGACGGGAAGGGAGGACGGCCAGGGAAGGCACTGGGCGGGAGGTGCCCCACCTGCTGCGCTGCCCCCCACTTCCAGGGAGCCCATTCTGCTAGGTTCCTAGGGACACGGAGTACACTGCAGGGGCGAAGCAGCCAGCAACCAGCAGCCAGCAGCCAGGGCCGGGAGAGGGGCCCCCAGTCCCTCCGCCGCCACAGCCGTGTTTGGGGTGGGGCTCGTGGACAAGTCTGCGTGGTGCCAGGCGGGTGGGATGGAAGTCGCTGTGCCTTGGTGCCCACCCACAGCCTGAAGGCCCAGGAGATGGCACGGGGTGTGTCACGGCGACACTGGAGCAGGCCAAGGGCTGGACGGGCTGTGAGGCCGGCGGGCTGCGGCTGAGCCTCCAGAGGCCGCTGACGCACGGAGAGGCGAGGGGATGGGCCCCTCGGCCGGGGTAGCTTCAGCCAGCAGGAGAGCTGACCTCAGCTCTTCCTAATGCTGCTCCAGGGCCGCTCAGACCTGGTGCCTGTCCTCTGCCCCACTGTCCCCACTGGCAGTCACCAGAAGTCATCCAGCGCCCCCTCCCTGGCCCCTGACTCGCCTGCCTCCACCCACCGTGCTGCCCTGGAGGACCGCACCTGTCAGCCACCTCTGACCCCGAAGCAGAGCCGGAGCCCAAGCACAAGGGACCTGGCTCCCCGGCGTCCAGCGTCCAGGTCCTCCACGAAGCCCGGGGCGCAGGCGAGGCTGCTCCTCCCAATCTCCCAGCTCCCCGTCCCGCCGCCTCAGCCTCCACACTTGGGCCTCTGTTGCTCCTTAGCTAGAGCTCCAGCCACCTCCCCATGACCCCACTCCTGCCTTCCCAGTGTGGGGCCCCTCCTGCACCCCACACCCTCCCACATCGCACTCGCCCTGGGTGTGCATCGGAGCCCCAAGCCCCGCTGTAAGTGCGTGCCCAGCAGGTGCTTGGACAGCCTGGCGGAGGAGCTGGCCCTCAGTGGGCCTCAGAATTCATAGTTGGTGGCTGTTAGCTGAGGGGCTTTGCCACTTTCCTTCTGAACAGGGGTCCGAAAGTAACCAGGGTGGGCTGGGGTGACATTCAGGGGTACAGCAGGTGCTTAGCACGCGCAAGGCAAAACCAAAAGCAAACCAGGGACCTCAAGCCATCTTCCGCGGGTGCCCACAGCCTCATTCCCACCTGGGCCGCTGAGCTGAGCTCCTCGCCCCTCCCCTTCCCTTCAGACCACTCCTGCTTTTCCTCCTCTCCGCCTCCCTCCCAGACCCCTGGCCCTGTGCCCCGGCAGCACCCAGTGCCCAGCTGAGCACACCAGCCGGCCAGCCCTGGCATCAGGTGACCTTTCCTTCCAGGCCGCCGGCAGCGCAGCCTGCCGGGCAGACTTCACCCAGCGCTCGAGCCGACAGCCCGCTCAGAGCTGGGGCAGGCCTTCGCCCCATGCCCACAGGCGGTGGGCACCAAACACCAAGAGCCCTTTCCACGCACCCCGCCCTGGAAGGAGCTTGGTGAGTGCTGCCTTGGGGTTGGGGCGCCAGGGACCACCTCGCCGAGCTCTCACCCAGCCCCAGAGCGGGAGGGAGGTCTCCAGGCCATAGCTCCCACCTCGGGAATCTCGTCTCCATGTGGGGCTGGCTGGGACCCCTTGTGAAGGCACCCACGTCCCCGCGTGTCTGCACGTCTGTGCATGCTGTCGGGGGCTGAGGACAGACCAGCAGTACGGTAACCTACGACTGCCCCTCTCCTCGGCTCCCGTTCCCTCGGGAGTCCCGCTCTAGTCTGCCTTCTCAGGAGGCCACGTCCACTCACTGTCCCCGGCATGGAGGCTGCACTGAGCCGGGGCTGCAGAGGAAGCTTCGGGCGGCAGGTGCAGGGGCTGAGGCAAGAGTTCTGTCCCCATGGGGTCAGCCCTTCCCCCGGGCAGGGGTCCAGGAAAAGCCACAGCACCCCCTGCTGCTGTCCCAGGATCGGCATGTCCTGTCCCCACAGCCCCACCCTTCTCTCCAGGCCATGGGGTTTGGATGACATCAATGTCTGTGGGCAGAGGCCTGAGGCCAGGAGGGGGGCAGGGCATTCTCGGGGCCAGTACAGGAGCTGGTGCATGGGTGCGGAAGTCACTGCCATCCCTGGCTCTCTCTGCTGCCCTGGGCAGGGGCAGGGTCTTTGGGCCCTACCTCCTCATGGCTCTTCCAGGCCTTGCGGTGACCCTGACGCTTGGGCCCAAACCCATCCCAGGCCCCATCCCCAGAGGTTTCATTATGACAAATCCGACGAGGAAAGCCTGCGAGCACACACAGACTCATGCATAGCCTGCACCGGCCTCGACAGGTGTTTTGCCATATCTACGCCATCCCGCCCCTAAGGCTGAAGGATTCGGAAATCACTGATGGACGTCACAGCACTCCCTCCCCACACGAGGGAAACAGGCGCAGAAAGGGGCGCAGAGAGGAGAGGACAGGGAGACTGAGGCGGGACGGGTTTCCCGGACGGCTCCTGTGCCATTTCCCTGCACGCCTGCCGCACCGGGCCCCCTCCTGGACCTGAACAAGCCTCCTCTGCGGGGTCCCACGGCCAGAGGGACCCCCCACCCACCCTGCCGCATGCGGGGCGCAGGCCCGGCTGAGCCCACCTGGTGGCCGGCAGCGTCCCCTGCTTCCTCCCACTGTGAGCAAGGCACTGGAGTAAATCTTCCCCAGGCAGAAAGCCGTATGGCTGCTGTCTTGTTCCCGAGCAGCTGCAGGGAACAGCAATAAACTTTATGAGCAGCAGGCAGTCGAGGAGGAAGCTGCGTGGCTGGGGAGGAGCAGAGGGGGTGCAGCCAGAGCTGTGGGGCTGGGGCAGTGCCTGCTGCTTTTGTCTCCTCCAGGGCGAGGAGGCCCTGGTGTGGGAGAAGGGGGTAGGGGTCACCAGGCAAGTGCGGACCCTGCACTGGGGGCTCTGTGGAGTGGGGCCCTCTCGGCCGCTGCTGTGCTTGGGTATGGTCTTGGAGCTCCCCACGACCCCTCTGGCTCTGCCGTGTTTGGTGAAACTGGGGCGTGGAGGTTGGTGACAGGAGGCGTCAGGGTGGCTTCTGAGCCGCTGTAGTTTGGGGGCACTTGGGTGTTAGGGATGGAAACCAGGGCCTCTGCATTGAGCTACATACCCAGCCCTTTTCTTTTTTAGTTTGGGGTAGGATGTAAGTTACTAAACTTCCCTGGGCTGGGCTCAAATTTTTGATCCTCCTGCCTCAGCCTCCAGGAGTGCTGGGGAGACAGGTGGGCACTGCCCCACTGGCTGATTTGTGAGCTTCTGAAAGACTCCTGCCCAGTTTGAGAACCTCAGCTGTCATCTGGGCCCTCGGGGACAGGCCTGGGCACAGCCAGGGTGACAGGGACTGGCTCTAGTTCTGACCCGCCTTAATCCCTCTGGGGCTTTCCTGGCTCCGTGTGTGGGCTGCTGCCCTCTGCCGGGCAGTGGTCCTGCTTCCGTTCTAAGAGCTCTGCCAGCCCTGGTATGGAGGAACTCACACACACACACACACACACACACGCACGCACGCACGCCGCACATGTGCCACGCATTACTATGCACTGATCTTAAAAAGCTGTTCCTTTCTTGCGACCGTACAATTGCTGCGCTGACCGCTGGAAGAACCTTGTGTCTGCCTCTTGGGGCCATTTGCACCAGACGCTGGTCACCATCCTGCACACTAGAGAAAGGGGGCAGGCGTGGAGAGAGCCATCGGAGGCTGGGAAACACGCGGGTGGGGCTGTGCGTCTGGCCGTGTCTGGACCGGGCTGCCCCTTCAAGAGGCACAGCAGAAGCAGCCAAGGGCGCCGGGGCGGGCGGCTCCCCACCAGCCCGGCCCTGCTGTCTACGGGGCGGCTCCCTCCCGGCAGCGCTTGGCTTCAGGACTCATCCTACCTGGTGTTCCTCCCACCCGGGGAAGCAAGCTCGGAACACCGCCTGTGCGGCTAAGTACACTTGTCAGTGGCTGAAGGGCTTCTAGACTAATCATCGCTGTATTAAAATCGAATTTGGCCCTTAAGCTGGGAAAACATCGGGAGATTTTAAATGGTAAGAGAAAGCAGGGAAGAGATCCCCTCTCAAAAGATAAAATCATCCCTGAAATAAGTCTCTCTGACTGCAGAATATGACGTATGGCTGTATGATTCTGAACATCCAGCTTCCCCGGAAGATAGATGCTTTCCAAAGGCACATATTTCGGCCCCGGCGCGGAAGGTGATGGGTGAGGTTCTCCAGCACCCGGTATCGATCCCGACAAGCGGGGAGCCGTCGGGAGGCGCGTGGTCCTCGGCCCTGCAGTCATTTTTAGAATGGATTTCAAAATGCCATTTCCCCCTCCTCTTGAAATAAGCTTGTGCCTTTCTGCCCTGGATGGCCCCAGGTGACGCCAGCCCTCAGCCACGTGAGAGGCTCCCAAGTTCTCTTGCACATTATGGCCTAAGCGGTTTTAAATGGGTTTCGGGTCCTCTTGTCTCTAATAGATTAAAAAACGCTCCCTTGGGCATCTCAAGGACATTGAATGGTACTCGTCCCGAACCTCCGGCTCCGAGGGGCCTGGGAAATGTACGGCAGCGCTCGGGAGCAGGAGGGCAGGCCATAAACCACGCCGCCGTTGAATTGTGCAGCCTGCCACATTTCCACTGCGGACTTCCTCTGCTACAAGCTCTTCCTTAATTATCTTCTCCCCAGAGCGCCCTCCCGCAGCACCTGAGATTTATGGGGACACGCTCCGAAGGCTCCAAGGCCTCAGTGGTCTGGGGAGCCCATCTCTCCCCCCAGCTGAGCTGAGACCCGAGGAAACCTCTTCTCTGACATCAGGGGGCTGCGGCAACCTGCGGAGGGGTGGGGCTGGGCTTGACCCCCCCTGCCCTGGCCCGAGCCTGCCCGCAGACCCCGTCCTGCCCGCACGGCCCATCTGCATGGTTCCTCATGCACGCGCCCTGAAGCAGGCTGAGCTAGCTCTTCCCAGCTCCTGGACCCCTTCCCAGACCCCTAAAGCCGCCCCTTTCTCAGTCAAGAGGAGTAGCTCTCCTCACCTTTCTGGCCTGGTCCTTTTCTTTCTTTTTGCCTCGCGGGGGATGGAGCCCAGAGCCTTGCACAGGTCAGCCAAGTGCTGTACCTCTGGCAACACCTCCAGCCCCCAGGACTCATTGTTCAGCATTATTTTTTCCACACCGGTCCCCATGCGATCCTCACTGCACGTTTAGTGTCTGTTGATTGAGAAAACAGACGATGACAAAAACCTCTAGGAATTCAATAATGCCTTTAAATGAATTTGTGTGTTGGTAATCACCAAAACGCCTGTAGACACTGGAGAAATTACCCCGCTGCTTGGGGACCGCTGTTCCGGTCTGCAGAGCACGCCGGTGGCCGTGTGGATGTGGGAGGGTCCTGACCACCCCTCACCCACACACCGGCCGTGAGGGTCCGGCTGTCCAGCCTGGGTACCTCCTGGAAGGCTCCTGTCCTGATGAGGGCACTGAGGCACGGGACACGGAGGGCCTCAGACAGGAGCCGGCCCTGAGAGCCTGGCTTAGGCGCAGGGCGCCCAGAGGGGTCCAGAGTGGCCGGAGGGACTGTGAGGTGGGCAGAGTGAGCACTGACTTCGGAAGGACAGACCCCACGGCTGAAGCCCAGCTCTGCCGCTCGCTGGTCCTGGGCCTTTACATCTTCAGCTTTTCAGAGCCCGTTTCTCCATCCAAAAACTATTATCTTGAGAACGAGAGGCTATAAAGCCAGTGGTGCGCGGTCTACACCTAAAAGGAATGGATATTTCACAGAATACGCTTGTGCCGTGCAAGAAGTGAGAACCTGACTCATGTGAAGCTGTTTTCCACTTAAGAGCCCCACACTGGGTAATGGCTGTGATTGGTGAATTAGTCAGGTCAGACTCTGAGCTCAGCTGCATAACAAGCACCCCCACCCCAAGGGACTCCATAGGGCAGAGATTCCCTTCTCTGCAGTGCTACAGCTCCAATTTGAGCAGTCGCTCGGGCATTCACTCAGCAAGCAGATCGTGCCTGACATCGGAGAGGTCTCGGGGTCTTAGAATAACGGGGATTGTCATTTGTCCCTACTCTGGATGCCCACTCTAATTCACCCAGGCAGCGCTGGCTGTCACTCAGGCCCCGTGGGACAGCACAGCAGGGCCGTCTGACACAGCCAGCCAGGGGACTCCCCCGCACCAGCGTGGTGGCCGCACCTCATTGGCAGACGTTAGCCCTTGCGTGTCCCAGAGTGAGACCCAGAGTTCCCTGGCACAGGACGTGACCCAGCAGCAGGGAAGGAGGGCACAGAGACCTGGTGCTGTCTGTCCACCTCCCTCCCGGGCCTGCTTCCCCAGGGAGGGGCGCTGAGCAAGGGGTCTGGGCTGCGGCATGGGCTGCAGAGAGGGACTCTGGTCTCCTTCAAAATGCGATAGAGCTCAGGTTCTCAGCAGATGTGTCAGGGGGGCGGGGGCTCCCCCTGCAGGCACCCCACCTGCGTTCACGCGGCCGCACTGACTCACAGGGCCGTCCTGAGCGTAACCCATGGGTAGTCCAAAGCCCGAGTGGCAGAGACTTCACAGAGGCCTGGACATCCTGCCACCTGAGCTCCTGCCACCGCGGGGACGGCAGGAGGCAAACCCGGCTCGAGGGGTCTCCCGGGTCTTCCCGGGCCTCAGCAAGCCCGTGAGACTCCTGGGATGGCCGGGGGGGAACCTGACTCCCCGTCACTCCCTGCTCCTAGAAGCAGAACACAGCTGGGGAGGGCCCAAGGCTGAGGCCCAGCCCCGGACAAGTGATTGCCTGTGGCAGGAGGCATCGCGGGCTGAGGATAGTCCCGCCCTGCCCGGCCCTGTCTCTGGGGTCCCTGACTGGGGCCTGCAGGAGAGCAGTGGGGAGGGGAGGCCGAGCCCGCTCCACCCACCAAGCAGAAGGGAAACAGAGAAGCCGAGACCCATGGGGAACCCGAGCTCACCCCGGCACCGTGGACGGTCCCAAGTGCAGGGCAGTTCCTCCCTGCACCCTACGTCCCCTGGGAATGCACAATAGGGCCCCGACCTCTGACCCTGGAGAAGAGGAGACTCACGGCCTTTGGTGCAGGAGGGAGGGCGCCCCGCAGGTCTGGGCAACCCTGGGCGGAGCTCTGGGAAGGTCTCTGTGGGGTGGTGCTCAGGTTTCTGACTTATAACGCGGATCAGTGACCGTCTCAGCCTCCCACAGCAGGGCCAGCGAGCGCAGGCTGGGCTGGTGTGCTCGGTCAGGCCCTGCTCTCTCCATGCCAGCTGGGTGCACTAGGCTAGTTTCTTAACCTCTCTGTGCCTCAGTTTCCTCATCTGTGAAATGGGGCTGCTGCCCTGATCACTCCATCAGGTGGCTGGGAGGCTTGAATGGGTTCATCTATGAGAAGCACCTAGAACACTGCCTGACATACAGCAGATGCCTTGTGTGTGCACGTGTGCGTGCGTGTGTGTGCCCGTGAGCACGCACTGCGCGACCATTTAGCCTCATTACTTCGGCCCTGTGCCACCACTGTGAGGTGATGCCCATATTCTTAGGGCCCCCTGGGGAGATGGGACGGGAGAGAGGAGGGGAGGCGGGCTGCCCAGGGTGGCAGAGGGGTGCGGCTGACACGGGCAGGCAAGGCCAGGCCTGATAGTGCGAGGCTGGACTGGAGCACAGCATGAGAGAGGGGAGCCAGGCTCCTTCCAGGAGTGGCTGTCGACGAATCCTGCTCAGAGCCGTCCCTCGGGTCACCAGAAGTGCCCCTGCCTGGGGACAGCAGCTGTCCGAGGCCGCCACACATGGGAGCCCAGGGAGCGGGCAGAAGGGCCACCTTGGCTTTTCTCTTCTCTGCCTTCCTGCACTCTCCAAATTTGCAAGTAGGATCAGGTCTGCCACAGGCTGCGCCATCTCATCCCATAGCCGAAGACCCCACTCACCTGCAGGCCCACCGCCCTCTGCCAGCTTCTCCCAAGGGGCTGCCCCGGCCACCTGTGGACAGAGCGAGAAGCCATCTCCCGCTGCAGCTGGCCCCCACCCCTGCACCTCACCCCAGCTGCCCCGGTATCCCCAACACGTGGCCACCCCCCAGCCTCACCCTGCACCCTGCAAAGTACCCTGCAGGTAGACAGGAGACCACGCCCCTTCCCCATGGGTTGCCTCCTGGCCCACAGGACGACGGGAGCCCAGGGCGGTGTCCTGTCTTGGGAAATGCATGGTCCCAGCTGAGGCCCTGGATGGGGCTGGAGGCCCAGGGCAGCCTCAGGAACTTCTCTGAACAAACTGACAGCACCGCTGAGCTTGGAGCCAGCCAGCCGTGCCAGGCCGGCCTGAAGGTCAGCTGGAGGGTTAATCAGGACGGCACTGCTGGCGGGCTCCCCTGCAGCCAGGAACCCAGCTGAGGGAGCAGGTATTAATAACTCGGCAGTGACAGCACCCCGTGGGACTGTCCTCTCAGACGGGACACGCAGCGGCGAGGCCCCCCCTCGCAGCGTCTCCTTGGCGCACTCCTGAGACAAAGTCAAGCAACTTTAGGGCTGCATTTCCAGCCCAGAGTGCCAGGCTCTGCCCTCAATCAGCCAGGCCCACCTTGCGGGAGGCAAGACCACTTCGTGGCACTGATAAAATCTGCCCAGACCCCATAATACCCACACTTCCTGAGCGCTTGACACTGAGCACTGGGCCGGCACTTCCCTGCGCCTGATCTCAATTCTGTCTGCAACTCTATGAGAGGTAGGTAGGTATCGTTATGCCGTTCCACCGATGAGGAAACCGAGGCCCAGAAGGGTGTTGTAACTTGCGCAACGTCACACAGCAGTTACGTAGTGGAGCCATGATGCAGGCTGATGGTGCATAACTCTGCTGTACAAAAATAAAACGTTCCTGTAAGACGGTGGCTTTCCCACAGCGGGGCTCTGACCGGTCCTGGGATCCGTGGCCCGAAAGAAGGAAGGCGGCAGAATAAGAGAAGTGAGGGCACAGTTCTGGAGTTTACAGCTGTGTGGGTGTTGCTTGATATTTTTAAGTGTCTGAAATATTTACACTCAAAATATTTAAGTCTCCCTCTCACCCCTGCTCCAGGGAGGTAACAGATTACCCTGGAAGTAAGGATGTGCATTTATAGTCTGGTTAGAGCTACCAGGGAGGGGCCGGCTCGGGCAGAGGCTGGGGTCAGTCGGTCAGTACGGGCACTTCCGGGGCCCTCTCCCCAGCACCACCCTCTCCGTTTTCCAGAGCCCGGCCAGGAGCAGCACAGGGGCCCAGGAGCAGGAGGGTGACAGCCAGCTTTGAGTCCCGGAGCCACCGCCTCTCCCCTTCCCCTCGAGGACCTGAGGCCCCATGGTTGTCCAGGACAGCGCGGATGCCGGGGACCCCCGGATGGGCGTGCGGCTGGAGCCCTTCCTGCACCAGGTCGGGGGCCACCTCAGCGTACTGCAGTACGACGAACACACGGTGTGCAAGCCCCTCATCTCCCGCGAGCAGCGCTTCTATGAGTCCCTGCCGCTGGCCATGAAGCGGTTCACACCGCAGTACAAAGGTAAGCGTGGGCGGAGGGCCACGTGGGGCAGGGACGCCGCCGGCACCTCCGACTGCTCCTCACCATCCAGCCCCCCTGGGCTCCTCGGCGCCTGTGGGTCTGGAGTGTGAGGTCACTCGGCTTCCCTACACATTCCCTCCAGCCACCCAGACTGGGCAAGCCGGGAACAGACTAGAGCGACACTGGGTGTCACGTGGTCCTGTGCCATGGGGCCAGCACGGGTGGTCCTGGGAACCTGGCTGAACACAGGGCGGGTCGAAGCCTCCCTGGCCGCCCTCTGGAGGCCCAGGCTGGGGCAGGCCACGGAGCAGCTAGGCCAGGGCTTGCTCGGGGAACCAAATTCCGCCTCACACAGGAAGAAAAGGGCTGCCGGCCAGGGAGCTGAGGACCTCGGCCCGGGTAGTGGGTGCTGGTTTGAGCGCGAGGTGGGCTGGGGAAACAGCGCTAGTGGGGATGCTCCGGCTGCCGGACACGCTATGCCTCGCAGGGTCCAGGCAGAGCTGCCCAGGGCCAGGCTTCCGAAGAGAACACTCGCTGGGCGGGGCACGCAGAGGAAAGCCCGCCACTGAAGGACTTTGGATCCGTGGCCGCAGGCCCTGCCCTGCTGTCCACAGATCTGGGGGCATGCAGCAGTGATACCTAATTAAGTGCATCAGAAGCCACGGGCAGCAGGCAAGGTGGAGCACCGCCGCCATCCCAGCACTGCGGCGCCTGAGGTGGGGGATGGAGAGTTCGGGTCCCACCAGAGCGGCTCGGTGAGAGCCTGAGTTTCATCCCCAGTGTGGGTGAGGGGCTCCATGCCAAAGGTGGGGACAATGGCAAAAACAGGGCCACGGATGTGGGTGTTTCTCTGCACGAACTGGGGTCAGCTAGCCTCTCCAGAATCCTGTGAGTTTCGTGTTTGTAGCTTTCCTGGCCCCCTTCCAGACCCAGGAATCAGAATCTCTGGGGCTCTGGGGTCAGGCCAGGAATCTGGGTCTTGTTGGTTGGGTTTTTGTTGTTGTTGTTTTAATTTGACTTGGGTGTGTGTGTGTGGTACAGGGAATTGAATCCAGGGTCTTTGCACTGAACTATGCCCCTAACCCACTTATTTATTTACTTAACTTCTTATTTACTTATTTTGAGACACGGTCTCACCAAGTTGCCCAGACTAGCCTTGAACTTGCAATCCTCCTGCCTCAGCTTCCCAGAGGGCTGGGATTGCAGGGGTGCACTACCAAGTCTGGCTCAGGAATCGCCATATTTAGCACAGTCCCCATTGAGAACCACTACCTGGCCTTGAACCCTGGACGTTACTTCTGCACAGTGTTTCACCCGGGCCTGCAGGACCTCCCGAGCAGCATCAGGCCCCAAGAGGCAGGGAGGACAGTCGGGCCATCTGCACATGCCCCTCTCCTCCCCGCCTCCCCCGAGTCTCCAAGGCTGCAGGCCAGTGTGGCCTGGCTGGCTGTGGTCACCCTCAGCACCCACTGGAATTCACATCTGTCCTGCGCCGAACTCAGTGCAGCTCGGGGTGGCAGCTTGGGGCGAGGGCGCCTGCTCGCAGCAGTTCCCGCTAGCTTGGCATCGCTCCAGGACCGCCGCAGACGAGTGGGAGAGAAGAGGGGCTGCCCGGTCCTCAGGAGCCCCCGACCTGGCCCCCTGTCTGCACCCCACCTACACAGGGCCAGGTCTCTGCCGGGTGAGCATGCGCTCTGGGGCACCCTCAGAATCAGATGGGTTACATCTCCCTAAGCTACCGCAGGCTGGAAATACTGTCAGTCACAATGCCTGCAACACACCTGACCACGCCCCCCACCCCACCCCCGCGACAGCTTAGCAACACGGTGCCCGGGGATGCCTCGGCTGTCCACCCTGGGGTCACAGGGCTGACGGGCACTACAGTGCTCGGCCACTGTCCACATCGCAGGAGGGACTCAGGCCATACACTGCTGACCCCAGAAGAGATCAAACCGCTTTCAAAGTGTGGTTCCTACTGTGTGCATATTGATTTCCCACCACCACGAAGTAAAAAAACAAATCATGCAAGTTAAAGCATTCTAAGTCGGGCACCACCTGTACGGTGAGCCAAGGGTCAGAGGGACCTCGCCAGCAGGGGCCACCAGGGTGCACCGGCCTTGCTTGCAGGCTCCTCCCAGGAGGTGGTGTTCTAAATAAGCCAGCAGGGGCCTGAGTCAGGGAACAGAGACACCGACTGGTACCTGCCCTGCCTGTGGGTGGGCTGGGTGACACTCAGCTATGAGGTCTGAATGACTCAGGGTCTTAGTCACCTTCTCCCAGCTGAGACACAATACCCAACTCCCACACCCTAAAGGAGGCGAGGATCCAGAGGGTTCAGTCCACAGCAGACAGCGCCAGGGCAGGAGCAGCACGGTGGAAGGGTTCAGAGGCAGAGCGCAGCTCTCACCAGGGCAGCCAGGAAGCACGGAGAGAAAGGAGGTCCCGGGAAGGAGATAAATGCTTCCGGGTCACGCCTCCAGTGGCCCACCCCTTCCAACCAGGCCCCGCCCACTAACCACACATTTAGATGAATCCACTGAGGAACACAGCACCCCCACGACCCAGTCACCTTCCACAAGCCACACATCTGAACACACGGGGCGTCAGGGGACTCTCCAGATCCACCGCGGAAATGCTGACCACCCTGCTGACCAGAGCATGGCCCATGCAGCCCCAGGGTCTGAGCACAAACCAGCAAAACAGGAAGGTGCTAGGGAAAGGCCCAGACCATGCAAGGGCCTCATGGTCGTTCTCAGCTGGGAAGGGCAAGGGACCAGCCACCGAGGTCACCCTGTGCACGGGGAGGCCCCAAAGCACTGGCTGCCGGCGAGGAGTCCCAGCCGCCCCAGGTGTCTGCTCTGTGCTTGGCACTAACTCCTGGGAGCCTCACAGCCCTCTGAGGAGGGACCTTGATTACCCCCATGACAGAGGGGAGGAAACTGAGGCGCAGAGCTGTTGCCTGATGTGCCTGAGGACTCACAGCCGGTGAGAGGCAGAGCCGAGCTTTGAAGTCCTGAGGCCTGGCTCCCAAGGTGGGCTCTTGGCCAGGCAGCCCCATTCCACCCAGCCCTCGGTCACTCTAGGAGCGGACTTGGGCCTCAGAGCTCAGGGGTCATCTCACCCAAGGAGACGGGAGCGGACTTGGGCCTCAGAGCTCAGGGGTCATCTCACCCAAGGAGAGAGGGCCCACGGTTGCCCAGGGTGGCGCAGCCAGTGACCTCGCCCCTTTCTCCTCAGTAGTCTCAGCCTCGCAGAGGGCAGCCAGGTCTGAGGTGTCCACCACGCCACAGAGCACACCCCTCCCTTCTGCCCCGCCTGGCATCCCCGTGGTGACCGGAAGACCCTTAGGCAGGGTCGTCATCCCGAAGGGCAACCTCCCTGTGCCAGGAGTTTGCCCTGAGCCTCTGCTGGGCTCCCGGCCTGACAGTGTCCCGGGGACACATCTGTCTCCGCCCAGTTTGCCTGTCAGCCCTGGGCGAATGAGGACATACGCTTAGGTCCAGTTGGCTCATGGTTCCGCCAGATTCAGATTACAGAAGGCAGCAAGTAAATGTTCTCATAAGCTTAAAAATAAATGCATGATGGAAGATTCTCCCAGGCTCGGGAAGCTGCCCAGCCAAGCCAGAATTGCTGAGCTGCTCTGGGCCTGCCAAGGCGGGCAGCGAGCGCAGGGCAAGGAGGTGGTCACTGCAGATTCCGTCCAGCAGGGCAGGCCTTGGCGGGCAGGGCCGAGCGGGCCAGAGGGGACAGGGGAGGGAGAGACGGCCAGGAGACAGAGAGGCTCGCTGAGCCGTCAGAGGGACACGGAAAAACCACGAGGCAGGGACGCAGCCCTGGCAGCGCGGCTCTGACAATATGAGGGATGGAAATGACTTCTGGATTTTATTGGTTTTGGGTTATTTGCACCTCTGCTCGCCTCCATTTACTCACGCACTCAGCGCCAGTGAGATCAGACAAGAGCTAGAGCCGGGCAGGCAGGGAAGGTCACATTTCTCGTCCCCCCGGGGAGGCCTGGGGACCCACGCTCCCCAAAACAAGCTCTCTGGGCTTCGCAAGTGGAAAAAGCCAGGGGCCTGGGCGCGAGCTTGCACTTTACAAGACCTGAAAGGCCCAGGGCACCGTCTGCGGCTCTGCAGGCAGCAGGGAGCCCCAGCCCCTGCGGACAGGTGCGAGCCCAGCCAGCTGCCTCCCCTGGCCGCACAGGAAGAAGTGGACCCCGGGCCTGTGTTGGCTTCCACAGTCAGCCCTGCTCCTCAGAACAAGCACAGTTGCCCTCGCCTGGCACTCCCAGCCCTGCTGTCCCCACAAGGTGGACTCGTGGTGGCTCTGCTCTCTGCTATGGAACAGAATGATGGGCACACGCACAGGAGACCCTCTCCAGAATCCCCATGTACGGCCTGCCCTTCCTCCCTGCCATGTCCGGTGTGGCCCTCTGGAGCTCCAGCCTACACCAACCCTGCGACCAGGGCCATCCAGTGTGCCTGGCCTCTGCGGGTGCCATCAAGAGACTTGCAAGCATGCTGCAACTCAGAGACCACAGAAGAAAAGCCTACGGGGCCACACACAGTGGGCAGAGTGATGCAGCAGTTTTTGTAGGGGGTTCAGTTTGAGACAGCGTCTCGCTATGCAGTTCAGGCTGGTCTTGAACCCACTATGTAGCCCAGACTGGCCTCAAACTCATAGTGACCCTCCCGCCTCAGCCTCCCAAGTTCTAGGATTACAGAGGTGTGCCACCACACCCAGCAAGACCTGCCAGTTGTGATCACTGTCGTGCCTGTGTCCCCAGCCTGCCCCTGCCCCTTGCTCTTGTGCACAGGGCAGTGGCTGTGGGTCAGCTGTAAGGAGTCACCTCGGGGACAGGATTATTGCCATTTGTAATATTTATTTCACAGCACACAGGAACCTGGGCTAGGCAGAGAGAAAGTGAGATTTTTCAGGAGTTAGAGAGGCCTGAACGCCCCTCCTTGGCCACAAAATCAGGGCACTGGGAATCAGAGATGGCAGGAGAGGCCCAGGCACAGCTGGGAACCTGGCACAGTGGCTCTGGAGAGCACAGCAGGGGAGCCCGGGGTCTGCACCTCACCGCCCAGGGGACCACAGGGTCGGGCAGGGGCAGCCTCGCCCTCACTGCCTGCTCAGCAGAAGTCACCGCTTACCCGGGAAGGTGACCAAGAGCAGCGCGGTGCTCGCAAGAACAGGCGGCCGCCTCCATGCAGGAGCGGCCCCAGCAGAGCACGGACGCCTTCGGAGGGGCTCCCCGGGGGCCACCGGCAGATGTGCATGGGGATGGACAGGAGCCAGCAAGCAGGGTGCAGCCAGGGTGCAGCGCTGGAAGTGCAGCCCTGCGCCCAAGGGCCAGAGCAAGGGACCAGTGTCCCTGCAGAGAGATGCCCCGGGGGAGCCCAGAACGCACGGGCACCCCCTGGTGGCACAGTGAGGGAGCCACACGGCAGGTGCAGGACAACCGGGTGCCCGGTCCTCTCCGCACCGTGTCCTCAGGGGCTGCCCTGGGGCCCTCTCTGTGCCACTACCAGAACGTGGCAAGGCAGGCACCCCGAGTGCCCAGCTCCACGCAGGGGGCCCCAGACTCTGTCTCCGTGGAGCACAACGTGTGGTCACGTCTAACTTCCCGCAGCCAAAGTCCCCGAGGACAGCAGCAGGGCACATGTGTTCAGTGGGCTTCCGGACCCCTCATGTGCATGGCCACAGTTCGGGGCCCTCGACGGCATGCGACCATGCTAGGAGGAATGCGCACAAGTCTCTGGCTCCACAGAGAGCCACATCCACTGTGACGTCCGTGTGCCGAGGCATTGGACCACAGGAGGTAGCCGCCAACATGCAAGAGTCAGAGAGGCAGGGAGAGGGCACACGGAGGACAGAGGACCGCATCTCAGAAGCTGGTCAGACAAGGACACAAGGGGGAGGGGTGCCGAGGGGGCAGACCACAGACGGGACGGTGGGCCCTGAGGCGGGGCGGCCCGGCTGGCGCGAAGCGCTGGCTGCAGCAGGACTGGAAGGCATGACTGCACAGAGCGGAACCAGGATGCCAGAACAAAAGGTACAGGCTGGCTTTGTTTAAAGCGAGAAGAGACAGAAATGAGATAAAGCAGGGACCCGTGGCGATCAGCCCACAGCTATTTCTGCAGACTCCACGGAGCAGGGTCATTTAGGAACAGGCTCGGGTTCCAGCCAGACCCGGCCAGCCCGATCCTCTCCGAGAGGAGCTGGGGAGGAGGGAGATCGGCCGGTGCCGTTAAACGGGGTGCAAAGTCGCCCGAGCCGGCCGAAAGGGCTGAGTGTCCGCGGGGTCTCATCCCCACCCTGCTCTGTGTGTCCCGCAGGCACTGTCACCGTGCACCTCTGGAGGGACAGCAGAGGCCACCTCAGCCTGGTGGCCCACCCCCAGAAGGAGAACCGGGAGCCCTTCAAGGTGTCCCCAGAGTCGGCAGCGGTGGCCATGTGGCAGACGCTTCAGCAGACCACGGGCAGTGGCACCGGCGCCCACCCCCTGGGCCAGCAGCAGCACACGCAGGGGGCACACGTGCTCAAGGAGAGGTGAGGGCCTGCGCGGGTGCCGGGAAGCAGACATACGTCCCTCGGCAGGGACAGCACCACTGCCCCGTGCCCGGGGCCACCCGTTCCCCGTTAGAGTTGGCGCCCAGAAAATGAGAAACTCGGACGGAGGCCCTGCCTGGAATAACCAAGGTGGCCCCGGCGCGGCGGGCTCCCCCGCGCCCCGGGAGGGAGCCTTGGGAAGGCTGTCTTCTCAGACGTCCCCACAGAGTGGGAACTTGGTGCCAGTGTGTGTAGACACTGAGACCAGGCAGTGTCCTGGGGCACCGGGGCTGAGCTAGAACCACTTGCACAGGGGAGAGTGTGGCCAGCTTCTCCAGGATTAGCGCTCTGGTGGCCCAAGGAGAGAGGCTGTTGGTCTGAACCTCAAGGGTCCCTGGAGACGGGGGACCGAAAGTCCTTGGAGAGGTCTCTAGAGCCTCAGCTGATGTTAGCTGACCTTTCTCAGAGGAGAGGGATCCCTGGGGATTTTTAAAACATTTATGGGAAACAAAAGGGAGCTAATACAGTGACAATATCCCCCCTCCCTAAGGAGTTCCAGATCTAATTAAGCTCTTGGCTGGGTGTCAGGAAGCCGCCCGCTATCTCCACTCACAGATGGCCACGCCGAGGTGCCTGCTGACAGGGACAGGACGCAAGGGAGCGCGGCCCGAGGTCCCGTGACCCAGGCCACCACCCCCTCGTGGCATTCTGAGGTGTCGAGGACATAATACCACGCCAGGCACCAGAGCCCAAGACCCCAGCCTTGTGACTGCAGGGGGAGTCACTGCCCTGTGCCGTATGCCCACAATAAGGAGCCATCAGGGCAGCACCAGGCCCTTGCAGGGTCTGTGGCACTGTGAGCACCAGGCCAGCCCTTTCAGAGCGCGGCAGTGAGCACTCACCACCCCTACCATCGTCTCTCACTTTCCCATCCGCCCGCAGCCCCACCAAAGCGCTCCTGAGGTCCGAGTTCCACTTCAGCACCCAGGTCTCCTCGCTGGAAGATGCTAACGGGAACCAGGTTGAAAGGAGGAGCTTTAACCCGTGGGGCCTGCTCTGCCACCAGGCCCACCTGAGCCGCCTGTGCGCAGAGTACCCGGAGGACAAGCGGCACCGTATCCTTGCCACCCTCCCGCCGACGGCCTCCCTCAGGGAGGAAGGCCTGGTGGTCAGGAGCAGAGGGGACACAGAGACAGAGACAGAGGAGACAGAATCGAGAAGAAATCAGCTCCTGGCCAGCCACAGTGACGCACGCCTGTAATTCCAACACTCTAGGAGGCTGAGGCAGGAGGATCACAAATTTGCGCTCACCCTGGGCAACTTAGTGACTTGGCAAGATGTGGGTTAGTGTAGAGGCCTTGGGTTCAAAACTTAGTACCTCAAAAATGAAAAGTAATCGGAACCTTCCAAAGAAGTCTGGGCAAATTGGACTGGGAATCACACTCAGTCCCGTGTCCCTGGTAGGCCTGCTGGTCGTGTCTCTGCCACTTGGGCCGTGAAGATGCCAGGAACGAGCGACACTGTGCCATTTGGGAGCAGGAGGGGCTTTAGAAGGATGGTGGGCTCTCCTTGTCCCAACCTCCCTTCTGCCCCCGTATTCCCCCTGCAGGTAACTTCCACGGACCCGCAGGGTAGAAAGGAAATGTGCGTCCCCCCAGCAAAGCACCTATGGGCAGCTCAGTAAGGAGCTGCCCCCCGACACACACAGGCTGCAGATTTCCATTTGAAATGCCCCTTCCCCGTCCAGGGCCCCTCTTGCAACGGGTGGCTGGGTTCATAGTATTTACTAAGACACATCTGCAGCCCTAATCCCTAAGAAGCTTTTGCAGGATAATTACTCCGCTGAAATTAATATTCCTGCAACTCATCTCCGAAGTGAACATCAACCCACTTCTCCCAAAAGGTATTGGCCCGCTCAGTGACTGGAGGTTTTAGCCTTATGATTTTCTGCCATAAAATGTAAATTGGGCATGGCCTGCCAGGGATTTCACGCCTGCATTTAAATTTCAACCTCAGAGCAAAATGGAAATGGAAGAAAAGCTCACATACTCATAAACTCCCCCTAAATAAATGGACTTATTAAAGCAGTCTGCAAAGCTAATACCTTGCATTCTTAATAGCAAGAAGGGCTTGTCTGTAAGGAAGGAAATGCGGCCAGGCGTAGCGGTGCACATCTGTAATCCCCGTACTTTGGGAGGCTGAGGCAGGGGGCATCACAAGTTCAAGGCTGGCCTGAGCCGCTTATCAATGTAGCATGGCCTGTCTCAAAAGAAAAGATAAAAAGGGGTGGGGATGTAGCTCCATGTAAAGGCTCTGAGGTTCAATCTCCAGAAAGAAAGAGAGGAAGGAAGGGTGGAGGGAGGGAGGGGATCAAGAGTGAAAGAATAATACCCAGGCAGGGAAGCTGGGTCAGCTTCCGAGGCCGCTTGCTGCCTCCCAAGCGGCAGCAGCCTGGACATCCTCAGCGCCTTCCTTAACTTAGCGACCAGACTTCCTACTACTGGAAAACGTAGTGTCACCGTACACGCATCCCTGCATCCTGGACCTGAAGATGGGGACCCGGCAGCACGGAGACGATGCGTCGGAGGAGAAAAAGGCCCGGCACATGAGGAAGTGCGAGCAGAGCACCTCAGCCTGCCTGGGCGTGCGCATCTGCGGCATGCAGGTAGGCAACACCACCCAGGCCCGCCCTCCCTCTCTGCAGAGCCCATTGCTTCTGGGTAGCCAAAGAGGAGGCTGGAGAGACACCTTGCCCCTCAGCAGAGGCATGTCCCAGTCTGTGACACACTGGGGGGGGCTTCTGTTTTGGGGGTGCTAGGGCTGGAACCCAGGACCCTGTACCCGCTAGGCAAGTGCTCTGCCACTCAGCTATGCCCCTAGTGCACACATGGTTATTTTGGTTTATTTATTTATTTATTTATTTATTTATTTATTTATTTATTGTCTTTTTGAGACAGGATCTTGCTATGCAGTATGGGCTGCTCTTGAACCCACTTTGTAGCCAGTCTGGCCTCAAACTTGCAGCAATCTTCCTGCCTCAGCCTCCCAAGTGCTGGGATGACAGGCGTGCGCCACCATGCCCGGCTGTTTCGTTTTGTTTTGTTTTTAAGGAGTGAGTACTCTTCAAGACAGTGGTGTCGAAAGCCCCCCATTTTTGAACTCCATCTCACAGTCCGCGGCAGCTGCAGCTTGCACAGTGGCCCCATGGTTCCTGCCCGTGGCGAGAGAGATCTTTGATGCCAGTGTGTGGCGGCAGCTGGGGAGAGAACTGATCCCGAGTTCTCTTGAATGATGAAGATGTAGCCTCTCCCCCTCAGATGCTGCATGGCAGTCTGCTCTTTGAATTCTTATTAACCATTCCTTCCTTCCCTTCCACCTTTCCTGGCTTCTTTTTGCTGCCTGGTTTGGTTAAAAGAAAAAAAAAAAAAGTAGTGGGAACGCCATAACCTGCGAAGTCCAGGTGAAGGGGCGGTTAAATTCCTTATTGCCGGGACTCGGCACTTCATTATTGCCGCGGCGGGGTGGCGGGAGGGAATAAACGGCCTCCGCTCTCACAGAATGTCTACTCCAAGCAAAACCAGACACCGATGTGACGGTAAACGTTATAGCTTTCCTTAATTGAAATTGCCACCCCTTGAAGCTGGAAGTTGAGTCTATAAATTCGTTGCACAGATGTCCCTGGGAAGGCCTAGAATGCAGTCCTCAAGAGAACAGAGTGTGATGACTTGTGGTGTAAATGGAATCTCTCTCTGGACCTCAAACCTTCTGAAATTGATCTGATTTATTTAGAAAGTGATGCCTGTCATGTATTTATGATGGCTAATTTAGCAGCCGATCTCCAGCCCTCCACAGGCAACACTAAGCTTATCAGATCTTTCTGATTTTTTTTTTCAAAGCTGCCTTTCTGTAAAGGTATCATGTGATCCAAAGGCAGGAGAGACCAGAGAAACTGTCTCAGGCCAGGTGTGGATGGACAGCCCTGCCCAAGTCGGCCACGTTCCCCATGGCCAAGCCAGCAGAGCCTCCGTGCCCCCCGTCACAGCCCCCTTCCATCTGCTCCCTTGTGGTGGCCAAGACATGACAGGAAAGGGGAGGGCAGACAATGCCAACGAGGGCCCCACTGTGGCTAGGAGCCTCCTGCTCCCCAGGCCCTGCAGCTGCACCCCGCAAACACCGTCCACCCCCGGTGATCTTCCAACAGTTCACCCAGTCCACCACCAGGGCCATCACTGTTGCCTTCCAATCTGCAGATAAAGGACTTTATAATAAACTTTGCTGGGGAGGATTTAATCTAGTTGGCTTTCCAAGGCCATTGGCAGTGATTTCAGATTCCTACAAAGCTTTCTAGCTTGGGTTGGCTAATATTTGAATTGGAGAGGGACAGGAGCCAGAACTTAAATCATGATTCGGAGGTTGACACTGGAAATTCACAAGAGTGGAGATCCAAAGCGTTGCCTCCTGGGTGGAGCGTCACCTCTGGGAGGTGAAGGACCTTTGACCTTAGATGACTGTTGAAGACTTGCTCGGAAGCATTTGAGAACAGCAAAACTACACTGAGGGGTGATGGAAGATCACCTTCAGCTCATCTCAGCCACGCTCGCCCCATATCTCCTGGAATTCTGTTCGTGTATCACTGGAGCCCATGACACTGCAACTGTAACAGATGTAATTCTTGTTTAATTTGCAATTCTTCACATTTTCTCTTTCTTCTTTCCAATGCAAGGTCTATCAAACCGATAAGAAGCACTTTCTCTGCAAAGACAAGTACTACGGAAGGAAGCTCTCAGCAGAGGGGTTCCGACAGGCCCTCTGTCAGTTCCTGCACAACGGAGCCTGCCAGCGCACAGAGCTCCTGCAGCCCATCCTGCACCGGCTCCAGGCCCTCCTCGCTGTCATCAGGAGCCAGAGCTCATACCGGTTCTACTCCAGCTCCCTCCTCATCATCTACGATGGGCAGGAGCCCCTGGAAATGACCCCGGGCGGCCAGCATCCTCCTGAAGCTTCACCGATGGGCCCTGCTGTCCCCCACAGGGGTCTGGCCAAGGTTGACGTCCGGATGATCGACTTTGCTCATACAACATACAAGGGCTCCTGGAAGGAGCACACCACCTACGACGGACCAGATCCTGGCTACATTTTTGGCTTAGAAAACCTCATTGGGATCCTACAGGATATCCAAGAGGGAGAGTGAAACTTCCTGGGACTCTCTGGGATTTTCCAGGCTAAAGATTATGCAAAGGGACCTCCTGGTAGCTGGGTAGTCTAGACACCCCTTAGATGTCTTTGTGACGATCAGATCTGCCTTCCACGCCATCCCCACCCTCGGCAGACGGCAGTCACAGCTGCTTGGGCAACGCGCCCCAGAGGCAGCTCCACGCACCCTGGCGTCTCCCGCGGTGCTGCCCATCAGTCAGCACCAGGCGTCACCGTGTGTGTGTGAGTCAGAGGCCAGCACTGCAGTCCCAGTCTGGAGCGTCTGCTTCCAGGACGGCTCCTATTGTGCTGCAGTCCTCACAGCTGTGAGGCCCGAAACCCTGCAGAAAGAAGCCCAGAGGAACAAGTTCCTGACGACAGGAGGCTTCCACCTGTGTGGGCTGACAGAGCTAACGGACGTCCCCTACCTTCCCACCAGGAGCTGGAGGTGGGGCAGCGCAGAGCAGAACAGATTCACTATCTTGCCTGCTTTGTACCCAGCTCCTAACAGACAAGGCTACATGCGGGGGCATAGCTCAGCCATAGAGCACGTGCTTTGCATGCGTGAGGCCCTCGGTTCAGTGCAACAAGTAATAATAATATAATAACCATAAAATAAATAAATGGCAGGCATGGTGGCACACACCTGTAATCCCAGATTCAGGAGGCTGAGGCAGGATGAATGCTGTGAGTTTGAGGCCAACCTGGGTTACATAATGAGTTCAAGGCCAGGCTGAACGACATAGTGGGACCCTGTCTCAGAAAAACCAAAAGTAAAGAAATATGTAAATGGACAAGGGTAGGCTCAGGCTCAAACCCTAGTTATCCAAGATCCACGTTCTCCATTTTTTTACCTGGAGAGAGAACAGTCTTTCATAGACATCTCGGTACCTAGTAGAGATGATGATTCTGCCACATTTTGACCATGAAATGACTCTGACCATGAAAGGCAGCTTCCGTCGTCTCCACTTTCTATCAGTTTACTTGGGTGGGTTTGGGCTGGGGGAGTCACAAGAACCTGGAGCAGGCAGGAATCCAGGAATGATGTTTACAAGACGGTGGGCAAGAGTAAATACGGGACAATTCTAATGAATTCCTTCTTCCTTGGTGTGGAAACCTATTACAATGCCCTTGGGTCAAGCACTGGGATACGCTCCCCAATTAGGGAAATAAATTTGTTAATAAAATTGCTGAGGTCACCAGTGATTATTGCTGGGCCTTATTACGCTTTCTGTTTGTTTATTCCGATCATCTCGCTGAATGGTAATTCCAGTTTGTGAGCAGCTAGAGCACACGCAGGGACAGTCCACCGATTTCCTGCAGTCCCGTGGGAACGGGGTGGGGACAGGGGCTAACAAAACATCTTCGAGGCAGGCACCAGAGCCACAGAGAAAGGGGCCTTCCAGCTGCACCTTATGAAATACAAAAGCAAGTCCCCGCTGGACTCCAGTGGTTACTCTCTATCAACTTTCCCAAGCCCACATAAACAGAGGGAAGAGGTTAGCCTGGATAAGAAAAGCTCTAGCATCCATTTAGAATACATCACCTGGATTTCACGCAGGTTCACTTCTCGAGGATGTCCGGCCAAGGGGACGACGGCCACACACTGCTTTCTCTGGAGCGGTTCTCCCCGGAGGCTCCAGTACCGCATCCTCTGAGTCCGCACCTCCAGGCTCAGCTTCCCGTCCCCTGCCCAGCACTCAGTTCTGGGTGCTCTGGAACACACCCCCAGGACGTCCCTCTCTCCACTCAGCCTTTCACAGACAAGGCCCCCCTCCTGTCCAAACTGGAGGCCCACTGAGTCCCCACCTCCTCCTGAAGATGTCCCCCACAGAAGCTCAGTCCGTGGTAAGAAAGGGGCAGTTGGCTGCTGGCTTTAGTTCTGGTTTTAAGACAGGGTTGTGCCACTGAGTCCAGACTGGCCTTGAGCTCACTATGTAGCTCAGGCTGGCCTTGAGCTTGTGATCCTCCTGCCTCAGCCTCCTGAGCACTGGGATTACAGATGTGTACCACTGAGCTGCTGGATGTGGCAGGGTTGCCCTGGTCAGGAACTCGTGCCTGGCCCTGCAGACTCGCGGACTCAGTAGAAGGAGCCCATGCACTGGATCGCCGCCCCGCTGGAAGAACAAAAGTGTGGAGAGGGAAGGGCGCTTGGGAACCTCACTCATCTGTAATGCCACGAAGCTGCTCCTCCCTCCCTCCCTCTCCTTCCACCAAGGGAAGGGCTGCCAAATACCGGGGACACAGAGCACTGTGCCAGGGTCTGACAGGAAGCCCGGAAGTACGGGCACCGTGATGTTCTCACCAAGAACCTCCTGATCCACCAGGTTAAGACCCAATGTGGAAACATCATGGCCAGGCTGGGTGTGGTGGCGCACACCTGTCATCTCAGCACTTGGAAGGCTGAGGCAGGAAGATCGCTGTGGGTTGAAGGCCAGCCTGAACTGAAGGGGAGGGAGGGAGGGAGGGAGGGAGGGAGAGAGAGAGAGACAGAGAGAGAGAGAGAGAAAGAGACAGAGAGAGAGACAGAGAGAGAGACAGAGAGAGAGAGAGAGAGAGAGAGAAAGAGACAGAGACAGAGACAGAGACAGAGAGAGAGAGAAAGAAAGAAAGAAAGAAAGAAAGAAAGAAAAAGGCAGATAGATCATGGCCACTTGCTGGGACACGTAGACTCCCCCCAAGGGAGCAGGGCGTGTGAGAGCCTCTGCCGCATGTCACCGTCCCAGGCTGGTGGCCAAACTCGGCCTAAAAGGGAGCGAAGGGGGAAAGGTCATGAAAGGGCAGGGGTTCCCGGCCAACTAACAAGCGGGGCGGGGGCAAGCAAGCGGGCTCGGCCATGGCAGGGGCAGCCAGGGATGGAGGTGAACACGAGAACTGGAAAGGACCCCTGAGCCTTCCACCTCCTCCTGCTCTTGCCTGGGAGACTTCGCACCCCTCAGCTGGTTGCTTCCCCGCGTGGGGCGAGCTCTGCTCCCGAGCTGGGAAACACACAGGTATCAGCCGGAGCAGGCTGACCGCTGTCACGGGCACCTCCCAAGTACCAGCATCGCATCGTCCCCATGGCTCCACAGTCATCCAGGCCCCAGGCCTCTGTCCTGAGACAGCACGGAGAGGGAAGCGTCGGCCGGCAAGAAAGGGACGGGGGCGCCACGCCCATGGGCCAGAATCAGTCCTGCAGCGCTGGACAGGCACCGGGGACTGCTGTGAGGTCTCAGGCCCGGCCTGGAAAGAGAAGATGGGTTTGACGACACCGCGCAAGTCTCTGGGCAACCTCTTTCTGCACAGGCCTGTGTCAATACGGCACCTGGCTGAAGCAGGGAGAAAGACAGGAAGAGCCGGTGGGCGGGAGGGGATGGCCGGGCCGCCTCTGCAGGCCCTGACCACCTCCTTCCTCTGGCCAGGCCCTCAGTCACGGTGCTCCTCTGCAGCCTTCCTCCGTGCCATGGGAACTCCAGGCCGGGGACACGGAGCGTGAACAGGGTCGCTGCCCTCTGTGCGGGGCAGCCTGACCTCTCCTCCCCACCAGGCCCCACTGCACGCCCAGCAGGGCCACAGAGCAGCCCGGGAGACAGTCACCCCTGCCCCGGCACCCCTCTCCCGGTCCTAGGTGCTGCCTGCGCAGTGAAAGCGCAGGCGTGATTAGGGCTTTTCCACACTGCAGCGTCATCGCCAGCCCCGGCCGCGGGGCAGGGCCTGCAGCCCCATCACTCTCCCCTGCCACCAGCCCTCAGGCCCCGCAGGGGAGGGCAGGCAGCGGTCTCCTAAAACAAATGGCAAGGCCGTCCTGCTGATGCGGAGCTCCACTGTACATCCAGACCTCCCGTCGCCTGCCCAGGGACCCTCTTCAAAATGATCTAAACTCCTGACTTGTGATTTAAATCTGAATCCTCTGTGGCCAAAAACATAAACCAGAAGACGAGGGAAAGAACTGGAGTGAAAGCCAGCCGCCAAGAAGTCTAGGGCGGCAGGCAGCCAGAGGGCCACACTGGGACGCCGCGGGGGCCACCGGGCAGGCTGAGCGTGAGGGTTCCGTGCTGTCCCCGCCGTCGGGGCTGAGCTGCTTGCAAAGGGCCAGAGTGACAGGAGCCAGGGCACGCTCGAGGAGCCCCTGCTCCTGATGTCCTTCTGGACAGAATCCCCGAGGGGCGGGGGCAGGCCCAGGAGACCTGGCTTTCTCCCCTAACGTCACTTGCGTCGGATCCACTCACTCGACAAACATTTCGAGAGGCGCTATGGCGCCAGGCCTCGCTGTGCAATAGGGGTGGGCGTTGTCCTGAGGAAGGGGACAAGCGACAGCTGCCGCTCTCCATGAGGGCAGGAAGGAGGGTCCCTGGGCAGGCGACGGGAGGTCTGGATGTACAGTGGAGCTCAGCATTTTGGACAGACCAGGCTGCCCCTCTGGGTCCCACGGAGGCCCATCCCGCTCGCTCCCAACACCAAAAACCTCCAGACCAAGGCCACTGTCTGTGTGGCTGTGACACTTTGACCACCTTTTCCCCTGGGGCGCGAAATGACTGCTCTGCTACCAACCCAGCCCTCCTCCCCACCTCGTGTTTTCAGTAATATATCCGGGTACTGCAGCCAACTGCTTCCTCCGGTTGAATAAGTGGAAAGAAGAAATATCAGGCAACCCCACAATGAAGCTAAGTATTTAATTCCTTTGTAATGTTTACATTATTAACACCGGCATTATAAAATGTTATTTTTACTTTCAAGCGATTTAAATGTACAATTCTGTGTCTCAATTACCGGGATCATTATAACTTAAAAACCCGGAGCAGCGGTCCCTCCCTCCCTCCCCTCTCCTCCCCCTGCTGACGCCTCAGTTCTGTAGAGAGCAAGCTGGTTCCACAAAGCCCAAATACCCGTTCCAAATGGCAAGGGCGGGGCGGCCCTGGAGGGGCGCATTCACTGCGGAGTGAGTGACAGCCGGCAGGTGGGTGCTGAAATGGTCATCAACTCCCCGAGAGCTGGCACCAGAGCTGCATTCCACGCAGCGCCTATTAATGTGCCCAGCGTGGCACCGGGTGACTGACAAGCCATCTAGCTCAGACTTCGGGTCACACCACCCACGGCACTGAGAAAGGCAAGGGGGGGCCCAGGGAAAGCGAGGCCAGGAGGACCCCAGGTCCCTGGAAACAGAGAAGTAAGAGCCGCCATAGTGCGCTGGCTGCTCCACCGCTGCGCTGGCAAAGCCCTGCACCGCGCGCGGGGAGAGCGCGGGCTCTGCAGCTGCCAGCCTGAGGTCCAGTCCTGCCTCTGCCGCTCCTAGCTGGTGACGCTGGGGACTCCTAGCTTCTCTGTGCCTCCGTTTCCACCTCTAAAGAGGGGGATGATTGTGTGCCTGAGTCCCTGAGAGAACTAAAGTGTCCACATTTGGAACAGTGACTGGCAGGTAGCAAATGCTCAGGGGTTTTTATTTTTTATCTTCATATGGCGTCTCACTCAGTTTCCCAGGCTGGGCCGAGTGTGGTGGCACACGCCTGAAATCCCAGCACTCAGGAGGCTGAGGCAGGAGGATTATTGTGAGTCCGAGGTCAGCTTGGGCTACGAAGCAAGCTCAAGGCCAGCCTGAACTGCATAGCGAGACCCTGTCTCAAAAAGACAAAAAAAAAAAAAAAAAAAAAAAAAAAAAAAAAGAAGAAAGTCTCCCGGGCTGGA